TATATTTTTTAATATTATATTTGATAAACAAGTCAAATTAAATGAGTTTAAATTGGATCACTTTAGATTTCAACTTTATCAAATTAAATTTTTTTAGATTTTGGGTTTGTGGATTATTTCAAACTTTGACTTAAGGGAATGGACACATGCCATAACTCATCAACATGATCGAATTTGGTGAAGTAGACTTAGTTGTTTAAAAAATTAAAATTAAAAAAATTTTCAATATTAAAAAAAAAATTCATATTAATTAATTATTTAATAAAAAATATAAAATTAATATTCACTTCAATAATTTAATAAATTATAATTAATTTATAATATTTAATTTTATTTTTTTATTTAAAAATTAAAATTAAAAATATAATTAATTAAAATTTTAAATTTAAAAAAATTAATTAATTTTAGTTAACTTACTTTGAATTTACCTGTCTCGATCTAACCTAATTCAATTGAATGTCAAGAATTTTAATTTGTAAGTTTAAATCATATTAAATTTTAAATTAATATATTAGATTTATGATCCTATTCATAATGAATATGTTAGATAGAATTATGAAATTATATTCAATTTTGCCACGTCTACTTAATGTTTAGTAAATTTTTAATTAGTTTGGTGTAAAATATTCAAATTTATTTAAAAACTTATAATAAAAAGAGGTTTTAATAATTAAAATGTTAACAAAAAAATAAAAAAATCTAAGTACTCTTAATAAATTAACATTAAAAAAGTTTATTAAAAATATTTGAACAATTTTATTTGATATTTTTTTAATGAAAAAGTTCACTTGATATTTTAAAGGGCATAATGTCTTAATTTCATTACATAGTTGTTTTTAACTAATTAATGAGTGAGTTATTTTGTAGTTTACATTAATGGGATTGTAAAACATAAATTTTTGAATAAGAAGAGGATTTCCAGAATTAGGGGTTTGCTTCTTTATCTAATTTTTTATATTTTATAATTGAATATAATTTAAAATGTAAAATATTTTTTGTTAATTAATAGTAATTAGTTTTAATTAAAAAATTTAGAAAAATCACTATATTTTGATAATTAAAATATCCAAAATAATAATAAAAAATTAAAATATTTTAAATAAATTAATATATAAAATAAATTTATTATTATGAATATTTAAATAATTTTAAAATTTAAATTGCAAGACGTTTTAACTTTTTTTCTTATAAAAAATGATAGCAATTAGTAGTTGAAAATTCTTGGCCAACCCTCTATTTTACTGATTATGAGAGTATTAGCCTCTCAACTTATAATATATAAGATTTAGCTTCTTACCTTATTTTGATTGCAAGATAATTCTTGAATGATTATCCACCTATAAAAGATGAACTTAGGTTCTTACCTTATGATTATAAGAGTATCAGTTTATTAACTTGTAATACAAAAGTTTTAAACTTTCGTGTTTTCGGTTTAAATGAAAAATCTCAAAATGAATGACAATATTGTGTGCTCATTAAATTTGGCTACCCATCTTAACACCAACATGGTAATTCTTTACCATCATGATTGCCACCATGTCAAGAGCATAGTTCTCCACTTTTATTATACTCGATAAAATTGGATTCAATTCAAAAATTTGACCTAACTTATTTGCTAAAAGTAAGATCATGAGTTTAAGTATTTAAGGTATTAATTTCAAATCAGATATAATTTAGACTAAAATTATTTGATCTTGATTGAGGGGTTAAAACTTTTAGTTTTTAATAAGCACATGATACTATCATTCTTTTATGGTTTTTTATTTAAATTAAAAAGATGAAGAATTAAAATTTTTATATTATAAATTGAGGAATTGTACTTTTATAATCAATAAAATAAGATGTTAAAACTTTTATATTATAAGTTAAAAGGTTAATATTCGCATAATAAGTAGTAGAGGGCTGACCAAGGATTTTTTGCCGTAATTAGTAAGGGTGGAAACGTGGTGGTTGCGTGGCAGGCAAACAAATGAATAGGATTAGCAACTAGGCTCTTGGGGTATTTTTCTCTATTTATTTATTTATTTTTTTGGGTAAATATTTGGGTATTTTGCTTGTAGTTGTAGTGCGAAATTCCAAGTTTCCTTCCCTCCAAAAACCTCTGCTTTCGGTATTTCAACTTCTTGCAGTCTGTGTTTAGTTGATTTGATTGACTGGAAACCATTGAGTTTCCCCAGAGAGCAGGAGATAACATCCCTTCCTCCCTTCTGTGTTCACATTTCACAGTTCATTTCTCT